CACCCTGGCTGGGGAGAACCAGCAAGAAGGGAAGGTAACGAATGAACTGGAAGATTTTGAGGGAAAACGGGAGAGGGAGGCTTGAAATACAGGTACAACAGGGATGAGAAAAGGTGATGAGAAAATGGGACATGGGTGTTTTAAGTTTAGGGATGAACATGTGAAGGAAAACCACCTCCGTCAATGTAAAGCACCCCCACCTCCTGAACCAAAGCACGAGTTAATCTGCTAAGTGTGAACAGCTTGGCTTATCCTAGTTAATTATTTAGCCTTAGCTCCTTGCTGTGGGTGAAGCACTAAAGTATTACAAGCGCTTCATAATTACTACTGGTTAATAGAAGAGCAGGCCACGACAGACTCTGCGCCAGGAATTCAGCTGCACACAAATCCTAACCTAACCCCTGTCCTCTATTTATGTGTTTAACTGACTTGTATTTAGGAAAGGGAAATACAGAGGGTATTTTGCTGCATGCCCTACAGCTTCCAGCACCACTAACTAAGGCAAGAATTCAGCAGTGGACATCTTCAGAGTCTTTTATTCACACCTCTGAGGAGAGATTTTGCAGCTTTCCTTATTTTAAGGGTTGACATTACACACAACTAACAGGCAGACAATGTTAACCAGTTCAAGATGGATATGTTCCCACCTGTGCGTCCTGGGGAGCACAGAAGCTTACCCAGTGATTTCACACTCTCTTGGAAGAAAAGCCCAAGTGAGGTTGCAGTGGGTCGGGAGTCAAAAGAAGATGCAAACTTCCCCAAATCTCTTCTTTGCCTCACTGAGGCGCAAGATAGATTCAGTGTCTTTGCCCAAGAACTCAGTGCTGCAAACTAGTATGACTCAACTGCAAAACCTGCTTTGCTTACTGCTTCAACTTCTCAGGTCAAGTGATTTAAGTAAGAATATAAATGTCAATGTTCACATGAAAAAAAAAAAACATTTAGCCTCAAAATTGCAAAAAAAAAAAAAAAGTTTTATTTGTGGTATTTTCCCTCTGCAAATCCCATGAGGGGACATCACCTTTCTCCTCCCTCCTCTTGCAACAGTTGGATAGTCACAGACAGAGGAGAGAGCTTGTGTTGCTCCCAACTGAAACACAAGACAACGTGATAAGGTAAGAGAAATCGAAGGCTAAACACAAATTAATCATACTGTCTACTTGTTCACAAAAAGAAAATCACATGTTCTTTTACATGAGGTCAGCTAAAGCTGCATATAGAAGTCTTTCATAACGGTATTTTCCCAAGTATAAATTGCTGGGGATTCTATATGTGCAAAAGGCAGCAGGAGTGCCTAATCAGTTAATTTTTACATTAAAACACGGTCTGCTTCATAGAAGAGTGGGTTACATGAAGTGGATCAACATTTCTAGTGTAAAAAAAAAAAAAAACAACTCCATTAATGATAATCTGAATTAGTATAGAAAAGAAAAGCACTGCTGTCAAAGGAGGTGGGAGCACTGTGTGTCCAACTCCAAGCATAAATAACTATTTCTGTTCTTTTAAATTTTACCACTATTTAAAAATAGACCTATTGATTTTGCTAGTTTCATCTTTCAAGCCTTGTGCCATTGGCTTCATGGTTAAATTTAAAACAACATTAGCATTTAAATTATAAGCTTGGGAACTAGTACTTGATAACTGAACTGCTGAAGTGAAATTAAATGTTCAGCTCCCTTGAATTCAAGTTTTCTTTGAGACCTGACCACACTCAAAACTGATAAAGAAGCAACTAGGTTATTTTAGCGATGTTAAAATTGTCCTGGTACAGTAATAGCATGTCAGATTTCTTGGTAGCAACTATGAAATAGTGCTGCTTAAACAGGCTAGGGTGTTTCCATTGATGAGAGCCACAAGAGCCAGCCACCCAAAAATGGAAAAGAAAAAAAAAAAAAAAAAAAGGTAAAATTAGGAAAATAAATATAAAAAAACCAAGGCTGTTGGAGCAATTTTCACTCTTGCGGTGATTTAATAATCTAGTAGGGCTATAAATGTTCTGTGAAGAGTAAACAAACGTCAATATTTGTGAACATCAGTAACACCAGCTTCAGTCAGAGGAAGTTACTAGTGTCCTGCAGTGAGACAACTACAATATCAAGAGTCCAAAGAACATGTGAAGGGAAAGCACGGCACAAAATGAACGTGAATGCAGCATTATTCACCGATACTTGACCGCCTCATCAAGCGCTCCCAGGGGGCCCATTTCCATCAGCTTGCTAGAAACAGGCTTCTCACTAGGCCTGTGCAGTGCTCCCGCCTCATCACCTTAGGTATAAGGGCTGCATCAGTGAAAGCTGTATAGGTTCCACTTACACATATGACAGATAAAGAATGCTTGTAAACCAAAGGAAATTTTCAACACGTCTATTTTTATCATATTTATCATGACAGTAAAAAGTGCAAGAAAAGGCAAACAAAGAAATAATAATAAAAATGAGCAAAAGAACAAGATTCTTGATATCATTAATCTCTCCTTTTTCTTAGAATTAAGAGGGAGAGAGAGAAAGGAAGTAAACCTGGTTTGGAAAAACCAAAGTCTAGCTGCTAAAACAAATATCTCTGAATAACCACAGAGGTAACGTGGCAGCACCGCGTCACACCTTTGTTAGGCGAGTGAAAGCAGCTCTGCTTGGCTGTTAGCTCCGCTCCAGAGAGGAAAAGCTGACAAAAAGTAAGAGTGGCACTTTTACTCTTCTCACATTGTCTCATTTCTTCTTTAAAATTTATCAGCTTTAAAAATAACAAGTTTATAATAAGTGAAGAAAAAAAATGTCTTTCAATTGGTTATATGAGGCCATTAAGATCCTTTGGATTTACTTCGAGCTTGAGCACAAAAATAAGATGACAAGCATCAAGCATAAGTTTATGTGCCTTATTAATTAAAAAATAAGGATGTTAACTTCCACTGGACAAATGATCGAAGCAAAATTTTTTATGTTTTAGGCATCAACTTACATGGGAAGTAAGTAAATTAGGGAAAAAAAAGAAGTGATAAAGAAGCAACAGCTAGAACAAACTATTCCAAATTAGTTTCTTGCTTCATTGCTTTTTGTCTGTGTAATTTTATTTCTATTTCATGCACTTCATTGACATCATTGGTAAGTCTTCTGCACAATTTTGTATTGCAGATGTTGGAGCTCTGAGTGACTAACAGTAGTGTTAAGAACAGGAGAAAGCTTTTATTTTCCCAGACCAAAAAGCAAACAGCACAAAACCAGGTAAAAACTACCAATGTAACTGAAGTTACTAAATCTTAGAAGTGTCAGTTACACTAGTTTTGAATTGCCCTACACAAAAACTCAATAACAACACAGTAACAAGGATGCCCTGCATTTAGCTACTCTAAGAACCATCATCTGGCTTTTATGCATCCTCCCAAGGTGTACCGCTTGCTCGGATCATGGTTTTGTTAACAATTTTCCATTGCCTCCTTGCTTTAATTTAAGTCAATTCGTGTGACAGCTATCCTATCAATCAATACTTTTAATACAACAGCGCATTACCAATACATTAGATACGACAAAAAAATATAATAGAGATAATACAGAAAGTTCTGGAAAAAAAAATAAGACTTGTACAAATTACCTTCTTTTCCCCACACCCTAAGATCTCATTCAGAGCCATGCGAGTTCAATTTGCACATTTCCACTTAACTTTTAGATTTGATTTTCTGATAAAATTTAGTAATTCTAATGACTCCACACAAAAGCTATTTAAGGAATATTTGTGCTTTGAGATTAAGAAAAACAAAACTCAACACCTAAACAACACATTTTCTCTGTGCTTTTCACAGAGAAAATGATCCTTGGGGACCAAGTTACTGAAAGGCTAATTTTCCACCACCAATTAACTGAAATGCTGTCTGAAGAGGGAGGTTGAAATCCTCCTCTCTCCTCTTCCCACCTAACTGCAAGGCTTTCCAGTGGCATCACTGGAATGAGGATTTCATCATAAATCTTGCATTACTTTTGGGTGTGTAGATTATTAAAGGTGCAACATACTGCACTGCAAAATTACAAAGACTTTACAAGGTAGATCTTATTTCTCTCAGCGATTCTGGACAGATGGTAGAATCTGACTACATCTAAATCAGCTTAGTCGAATACATTATTAGTTCTCCAACCCAATATTCACTGTTTGCTTTTAATGAAATGTTGAATGAAAGGCTGATGTGCCAACATTAAAGAGTGTGAACAACAGAAATCCATCTTCCTCAAAGATACACTATAAACGTTCATACAATTTACAGAAAAAAGAGTTTCTCTTGAAAATACAGCTCATTACAAAAGATCAAAACGGAAACTCATTTTTGTCTACTTTTTAATCAGGAGTCTGCTAAGTTGTTTCTTTGTAGCCATGAAGCAATTCAGGAAAATCTGGAGATCAGAAGACCGAGTGCCACACAGCGACGTCTTGGTGAACACCTATAAAATACTCTCAGGATATCTGGTACCTCAAAGGCCGGGCATGCAGTATCTCCAGGAGATAATCCCATTAGCAGGCAATAAGTCCTTAATTTCTCAGAAGGGGCACCCAGAGCTCCAGCTCTCCTTAATACTCTCAAGAGAAGATACATGATTCTACTTCGACTCAGAGAAGGCAATCCTGGCTCACAGTTAATTCTTCCCTTAAGAGCATAAAGAATGAAAAGTTTTCGTAGAATTCCTAGATTTACAACCTGGCATTCACACAGACCCTCACCTCTGTATTTTTCAATTCATTGTCTCCTTGCAATCAAAAGTCATTTTGATGCAAGATGCAGCCCATATTTTACTAATGGAAATTACTCTCATAAAAACATTCTTGCCTGTCCTCCTTGCAGTGACATTTCTTCCCTCCTGTCTTGATAAAAGTTACAGCTCAGTAAATGGAACTAGTGATTTTCACTGTGCACAATAATGATTCTTTGCTTCTGCAGTTCCCATTCAATCAGTAAGTTATTTTCATTTACACTAAACAGTGATAAAAAATGATTCCCAGATATTAATATATGATATGTACATTTTATACTACTTGAATTTTCAATAGGTAACATTTTCATGTAGATGTGGCATTACTTGAATGTAAAACTGTGACACATCTTGTGAAATACTAACATTCTGTGCTAGCAAACACATGCTCACTTTCATTAAATTTGGGAGGTGTTTGGTTTTATGTCTGAATATGTACAATGAACTAACAAATACATTCTTATTTGTACGGAAATAAATAGAATATCCTTACAATTTATTTTTCTTAATTTTTTTTAAAAAATATAATCAGCACTTCAAGCTCCCAATAGAAAAAAGGTAAAGCAGCATACCGTCAATTCTAGGTCCTAAGTCAAATACACTACATTTTTTGTTGTATGTTAAGATAGTTTTAATAATTATGAAATCCATATAACGGGTGGCTTTGAAATAAATAGAATTTACATATAAACTGAAATAGGTTTCTAAAAATAATTCATTTTAGTCACGCAACAAGAGCTGAATGGTGTCGAACAAAGTTTATTCACCACTCTGAGACAGCCCAATTATTTCACTTTTGACTTTTGCACATATAGGAGAGGTTGTGCGTATCTTTATATTATCAGAGACATGGGTTAACTACATTATTCATACACAACATGCCCATCCTCAAACAGGTGGGTCTTTCAAATGCTTGGCAATTAAACCTTCCTATATATGAATCACTCACCATTCCCAGAATGCCTTCTACATGAGTACTACATGTTTACATATGAGGCTGGTATATTCTATATAATCTGCATCGCCCTGCTTGAGTCAGCTAAGTAGAGCTCTCATCTTGGACAGGAGAGAGTCGCAGACAGATGCAGATAAAGAAAGGTCAGCTTGTCTTCCTATGTGGCTAAGACATATGGGCTCAGAATTTCATACATTGCTCAAACTGCTGTCTTCAAAGAAACAGTGGACCCACGTAATATAGTTTCCAATTGCTGCCAAAATGTGGTGATTATTATTAGGTGTCACTTTAATGAGGCCTCCCACATGTTTTAATACATGCAATCAAGCTGCATTCCTTTCCACAGGAATCGAACGAGCAAGATAGGTGCCCTCTGCTGAATTCCTAATTCTGAAAGCTCTGAAAGCACCAATTACTTTAATCCAAAACTGCAGCTCCAAAGGAATTGTGCAGGAAGCAAAAGCCTCACTCCTTCATTCACCTTTGAGATGGCAACAATGGAAAGAAGAGCCAATATGATAATGGTCACTGTGCGCCTTGGCAGAGACAATTTAAAATAAGTCTCTGTTCCACGTAAAATGTTAATTATCTTAAGTTTTCTTTCTAAATGTAGACAACAACATTAAAAACAATAAAAGAATCTTTCACCATGAAAGAAAACAAAGTAGAAAATATCTAAGCAACTTTCATTAGACATTTTTATTTGAAACAAACATTTTTACTTTCCCAAAGTGAAATGCTTAATTTTTTGCTAAAAATATTTTAACAGGGGTTTGCTAATATCTGCATTTGTTATGTTACGACCTATCATTACCTTCCCTAAAAGAAAAAAAAATGCAAAGCACAATTGTAAACAATATTTATTATGCAAAGCAGATGACACACTAGATTAGCATATGTAAATTAGGCACCAAGTTGAAACAAAAGCAGGATGTATTCGCTTCAGCTGAACTGGGTGAAGAGAAACAAAACATGCCCACTTCCAATTTCTGTACTTATATCAATTAGGAATTATTCCTTGCACTGTATTCTTTAGAAAGCACATTCCTATTTGATCATTAATACTTGCTAAAATATGGATGGAAGCATTTTACCCTTTGTGGTTGAATCAGCTATGTTTAAAACAGTCATTTTGATATAAAGTTTATCTGCATATAAACGTTTTAGCAACAAAAATTTGTCACCTTCAAATGTATTTCTGATAAGAAACCAAACGTGTAGCTTGGCCCCATCTTCAGGCTTCAGGCCTGAGGCACTGATGGAAGAGTTAAAGCAAAAACTCTTTTACATTTCAAAGAAAGTTCAAAGGCAACAAAAAAGACTGCCCTGCAAAGGACACTGAAGCTGCATTTATTGCAGGACATATTTAGGGAACAGACTATATGATTTACTCTGTATCATAATAAAAAAATTGTAATATAGTCCGTATCTTGTTTAACAGGAAAGTTTACCTAGTTCTTACTTGAATCTTGGATTAAACCTATGAACAAATGAACATCAAAATGATAGTCTGAACATTCTTACAGCACCAGTCACAGCTTAGTATTATAAATACAGAGGCAAACTAGGGTCAAGATACACATTCAGCAGATTTAACAGAAATTTGTATTTCTATTTCAAATTCAGCAAACCATTGAATGATATTTCTTAGGCCCCGAAACATTGACAAGTGATAAACTAAAGGAAACACTGGAAGCATCTGAAATGAGGACATGAACAAGGCAACCTTAAAATTACTTGTATTCCACACTTGTGTCTGAATTCTTGGTAAATAGGTTGTCAAAAACTGCCCGACCATTCTGAAAATGTATTAAGTATTCATTCCACTGTTTACTAGTTCTGTCTAAAATCAGTGTACTGACAGATAGTTTAGCCAAGAGAAACTATCTAAAATAACATATGCTACTAAAGCGATATATTCTGAAGAAATCAAAATTGAAAAAGTTTTTATTGGCCACCTGATATATCTCAAATCCTGGTTTTGGAAAAGCACATGGTCTTTTTTTCCTCTGTTTCTGAACGTGAAACTAAATATCCTGTAAGACAGTCTTATACAGTTATTAACACCAGTCATAAATACAATGCATGCTTCACCATAAAACTTTGCAATGATAACCCCATCCTAATAACATGCATTTTCCACTAAGGAGATAATGAGAGAGTGAGTTGAGCTAAATCAGCACCATCAGAAAACACAAAATACTGATCTTACCTCCATCTCTGTGCAAGGTAAATGGCCAGATTTATCTGTTAAAAAAAAAAAAACAGATTATTTAAGTAAAAGTCAAGAGACAAATAAAACTAAACACCGAGTCAGCTCTTTTTTAAGAAGTACTTACAAATAATTGTTTGGCCTTACTTCAATCACACACTTCAATAATATTGCTATTATACTCATCACAGAATTAGCAGTATGAAAAAGGCCCTGCCCTCTTTATTTGGATCCCTCACAATGTTCCCCTCTAAGAGGATCGTCTTTAATGCTTGGCTTCATTATTTAAATTGTATGATTGAAGTTCAGCCATGGAGGCAACATGAAAACATGTTAAATTAAGTAGCAGCAAACAATTAGGTCTAGAATAAAAAAAAATACCGATAACTCATAAACCATGAAAAAGCCCAGTTTACTACTGCAGTATTAAAGAACTCAACAACTACACGAAGTTCAAGCAAGCAAAGTAGAAAACTTACTCTAAGTCCATCTTTGTCAATGTTTGCTTTTCCTCTGAGCCTGAAGAAGCTACTACACTTTGGAATTTATGCCATATAGAAAAACAACTTCTGAACTGTTTCTTCAAATTGAAGCCTCAATTTTGTCAAGACAAAAAATCATTTAGTTTAGAAGTGTTCATGGCTTGGCAGCTTATAAAAATAAGACTGAAATTTCACCTTATTATTAGGGAGGTACCATTTCACTAAATGCAGCAAGTCGATCATTTCATAGTGATATATTTACATCAGAGGAGCATGAAGTCATTCTGATGGGATGATTTTCTACTAAAAAGCGACATTCAAGAAAATCAAATGCTCAACAGAGTCAAATCTATTTCAAAGGGGAACTCTAAAACTGAGAAGCTCTAATATGAAAGCTCTGCACGTTGCTCAGGCAGCGTGCCCATGCTGGAAGCACGCGTTGCAGGTGACAGGCACCAGCCACCAGGCAGCCCGGCCGAGGGCTCGGCTGCTGGCAATCGCTGGGAAGAGCCTGCAATTTGTAGTCCTAACGAGGAGGAGCGTTTTATCAGATTGCCCGGCGAGCTCCAGCAAGGGCAGCCAACTGGTTAGCATAAGGTTTGCATAGAGGAGCGCCAGGGCTGCCTTACCCTGTAAAATGGGCAAGGCATGCAAACCTGCTAGTGCTAGTGCTAGTGCTAAGTGCTGGTCCTCCCAAATAGAAGAGAGATGATTTTTTCACATTGAATTAGTCGCCTTGCCTTTGAAACTAAAGGTTAAACAGATCTTGAATGAGAATGGAGTATCCAACTAACACAGGGGAAATAGTTTTCCTCCATTTTGACCCAGTGCCAACAAAAGCTACATGCTCGGCACCAATGTTTCTTTGCAAAACAAACAGCAGGAGAGTGACTTTAAAAAAGGCACCTTTTAAGTAACATATCATCATTTCAGGGTTGGACTAGATGATCTCTAGAGGTCCTTTCCAACCTCAACCATTCTGTGATTCTGTAATTCTGTTTCAAAAGGACCTGTGATTCTGGTTGAGCCACTTCATGATATGCATTTAAGAGACTTTTTTTTTTTTTAGTTTAAAATGGTAACGTTTGTGAAATATAAAAGATTTATCAGAGAGACTTGCTTATTTTTAACACTCTTTATGGTCAAAGGTTTATGAATTTTAAGAGCTATATTAAGAGCTTTTTCTGTCTGATAAACAAGAACACTCTGATTCACATCTGCTATGGGCTGATGAAACAGGAAAGCTGCCTAGTGGCTCCCCTCAGTAGTGCGGCCATGAAGCGTCCATCTCTGCACTTTAAAGCACTGCTCAGATCCTAAGGAACATCCTTTCACAACGTCTTAACCAAATCCTCAAGTACCAAACAAACCTGCCCAAGCCAAAGTGCCTAATGTGAACACCATACTTCTCCCACTCCCTCCCGATTCAGTTTGGATAAATCATTTTTTTAAACTTTGATAAAAGAGGTTTCTCAAGGAGAAGCAACTCAAGTCTGGGGAATGCTCATCATTTCATAGATGATGCTGCCAAAACTTACTCCTGATTTCAGAACAAATCATAATTCTTTTTTGCTGCTAGCATTCAGGAAGCAGATTAGGTTGGATTATTTATTCTGACCAACCTGTGACAAAACAGGAGAGGAGCAAGATTGACCCAACACTGCAAGGGGCAGCAGCCGTGCCACAACCGCCTGCGCTGGGGAGGGCAGGGGGAAGGACAAGCAGCCGTCCGGGCTCGCACAGCTCACAGGAGCCAGAGACATGATTCTAAACAAGCCCAAAGTACCGACTTCGAGTACGTTAATAACACACTGTGCGTTAGGGTAGTCCTTATGCCGCTCTCCCTTAATTGTAGCCCTTCGCTGGGCAGAGGATCCCGCTGCGCTGCCTGCAGTCACTCAGGAACCTTTCCTGGGGGAATTTTCCACTTTCTGAGATCTCTCCCACTTGCTTCCATCAGTGCTGAACTCAGTTCACCTCTGTAGAGCCCATGCAAACCAATGCATATTTACTCTTACTTACACTGCCTAGGAACAGATTTCTTTTCATCTGACAAGACTGAAAAAAGCAGAACCTTTTGAACATAGCCTAAGGTTTGCACTTTCCTAATTGCACTGGGAGATAAATAAATCCTAAAAAGTCTCCATTTATTCTCTTCATGAGCAGTACTAAGTGCTCTCTGGCAAATAGGTCAAGATTTACAAATGTGTTTCAGCTGCTACTTCTTAACACGGACTCATATTTCTCTAGACTTCACAAGCACCCAACTAAACACTAATCTGTGTAGGCTTTTCTTCATTCGTAAAGCCAAAAAATTAAAAAACAAATCACCGGTATTTTTCTACGACAACTTTCAAATAGTGACTAATCCTTTCACTACTGATAAGCAGCAATATTGTCAGCTGTCAAGTTAGCTTCAACTTACAAACAACCTACTGCTTGCAAGATCAAATAATTTTTGACTCCCATGTTGTCGAAATGAAAAAAAAAAGGATGCAGTCAGGAGAGGGCTTTAAACTGGAGGTTTCCTGTACCTCTGAAAACAGTTTTCAATAAAGTGTAAAAGATACAAAAAAAAAACCCAAACCTTAAAACACACTCTTTGCATTCTTTTTTGATCCCCTGAATTGAAATTTATTGGCATTTTGAGCCCCCAGCACGAGGAGTCATGCCAAACTTTCAGCAAGCACTTGGATACAGTGACTCATCGCTTCAGGCTGCTGCTGAGACACAGAAAAATAATTATTTTCACATGATCTAACTGAACAGCATTATAAAAAGATTATTCTCAATCCATCCATAGCCCTAGCCTCACTCAAGCACAATTTCCATGTCTCCCAAGCATTAATCCCAAGGAGTGTCATGTAAGTAAAGGGTCTTCACAGATTTGCAAATCAAAAAGAAAGCATACCTTCTACTGCTGCCAGTAACGAGAAGCACGCACTGAAAACCAAAATAAATAATTCAGCACATTCAAACGGACTGATACAGAATATTCACACGAAAGCACGCAGTATGCACAAAATATTTGTGCTCCACAATCCTAAGAAAAGCTAAAATATAGAGGTGATGCTGTGGCTGTTGTTTCAACAGCAAACAGCAGCTCAGAGAGCCTCGCAGCTCAGAGCCTCAGAGCATCTTCCCAGCCTTCCTGTAGCATCCAAAATCCCTCTTTCTAGATCCTGGAGCGTTGCCTCAGCAGCACTCCGTACACAATCAAGGCCAAGAACCAAGGCAGAATCATCAGCACTGATTTTTGGATTTTCAGGCAGCAGCTTAATTGAACATGCACTGAGAATCACTTTGTGGGCAAGATTAACATGCTACTTGAATGGCACAGTCTCTCTCTGCAGTTCTGGGTGAAATAAGCCCATTATTTCCATGGTGGAGAGCCCCAGGTGCCTTCATGCAAGAGGGCCACTCTTGGAGGTGGCAGAAGAAGGGACATAAGGACTAATAGGAGGAGAGTAAGGGAGAATCTGGGAGTCATTATCTCAAGATTGACAAATTCAACAGTCTTTTGTCAGGCCCCCAAGTTAAGGATAAATTCAGTTTGGGTTTGCTGTCTGGCTCTTAGGGCCTCAAAGAGGTATGATAGCTTTTCTCAGTCCTTAAGGGAATGAGGAACTCCTTAAAAGAAAGAAAAAAAAAGATTCAGACTCTCATTAGGAAGTTTCATTGCAGGAACTGGAGCATTATTTAGCAAATCTGACAAGACTTTCAATAAAAGAGGGAAGATTAGTACCAATGAAAGGGAAACAAGAAGAAAGCAAAGGCAGTTAAGCAGCATAAAGAAAACAGGCATACGTAAGGAGTAGAATTCAGAACTACATGGAGAGACAGCAAAATAACGACATGGCAGGAGGCAGCCAGGCTTTTGGCAGCGGATGGGTTCTTACAGGGTAAAGAGATGAGAGAAATGCAAGGATGGAAAGAAATTTTAGAAAGTAAGAAGAAAAGGAAGAAAAGAGAAAATGACAGAGAAAAGTATAGGGAAAATGTGACGTAAGAGCTTGCAGACTGCAAAGAGAAGGTCAAGAAGAGTGAAAACCAGAGCAAGATTGGGTTAGAAGCATGCTATGCAGCCCCTCAAAGAGCAGCTAGCAGAGAGAGCACATTTTTAAGCAAAACATTTGGGCTTTGGAGCCCAACATCCCTCTCCTTTCAACTGTGAGATTAGAAGACAGCAAGAAGCAGAGCAAGTTTTTAGCAGCTCATTACTATCTGGATCTTACTCCTGACCATAGCATCAGACTACAGTCAGTGCTCTAGAAAGGATGTGCCTCATTTTTTCAACTTGGGAAGAAAAAAAAGTGAGAAAGTCACAAGAAAGGGCAAGGAAAATTCTTAACAGAGAAGTAACGGTTGCTAGACTGGAAGGAGGAGGCCAGGGCTTTTCTCATCATCATATCAGTCTTTTCACACCTTCACCTTTCTCTATTCAATTCATTTACAAGTAACCCCTGTACAGTACAAATGTAACACAATACCTAGTTGATTTACATATGATATCTAGTTGTGTTTTACAATAAATCTATATTAAAATCTAT